ACACACATGCACACACACACACACACACACAAGTGACACCTCAATTTACGTCCAATCCCTTTGCTAATCTGTCGTTTACAAATTATGTAAATCTTACACTTTTTGCATGCCGACTGTGTACAGAATAATAAGATATGTAAAAACTGAAGCTTCTATGCTATTGTTGACGAAAAGAATGAAAAGCAGGAAAATACCAAACAAAACAAACATGTATTCAGTCCTGGGTCAATATGCAGAACTTATCAATGCAAACATACTTGACAAATCTAACGCAGAGACATTTCGGAAAAGGAGAAATCATATCATGCTATACGAGTATTATGCCAAGTAGCTTTAACAAAGATAGGCGTCCATTAGCCAAGATTGTATTATCAGATCAGGGTGGAAAATATAATTGTATTATGTCAATTTAGCCAACAAAATGTGGTTACATAGAATTATGGCTCGGTTTTCCTTGCACGATATTTATGTCATTGCAAATCATCTCAGTTGTCATGGATAGCGCACGATTATTTCATTGAAATTAATACTGAAGGTTTTTGTCCCAAGTTTAGAAGAATTTTTAAAAAGAAAGCCTTATATACTAACATGTCTTTGGTTGTGCTATTATTGCGTTTCAGCTCAAATAAACTAGCTAGAATTTTCTAAGCGTAAAATTATACGGTTCTAGATGATAATTCAAGGTTATTCGCGTCGAAAGTGATTTGCAGAAAACCGAAAACATGATTGTATTAGAGACATCGAAACGGTAAATTAAAAATTAACGCCAGCTAATCTTTTTTTTTTAAAGAAAAGAATGCCCATCTTCACAATCCCACGGGTATTTTGGACAGTTGTCAATCCTCACTAAATACATAATTAATTGTTATCCTATGATAAGTTGACAGGTAAGATCGATTACTCCAATCCAATGAGTAGCTACAGTTTGGCAACTGATTTGTAACGGCATGTTGAACCTCATGCATGTTTCATCAGACGCTAGCAAGTGTTCACACAATTCTGTTTTTCTCTTTCATCGGCTTTGAACTTATTTAGTTATGAAGATGTCAGACTATTTAATATTCATATTAAAGATCTTATCAACACTCTTCAATTACTTTTGAAAAACATGTAGATTTGGACCAAAATATAGGTATTTTGTAACGTACTTTATTTGAATGGTACATGCTTTATGCATCACTTCCGCCTTGCCAAGTTACACATGCGTAAACAAACAAATAAACACAAACACACATCCCCCC